GCACAATATGCAGCTCATTTACACTTGACCATCAATTAGTCCCATATTCAATCAACAAAACTACTGCTTTTTTTTTATTCAAGAAAAACTAGATAGAGAAGTTTAAGAGGTTGATTACACATGCTGAAGAAACCATAACCCAGGTTCTTCTCACCTGTAAGTACAGCTTTTGCTGAAGGATCTGCAAGATCCAAGGCTGATTTTCCATCTGTGTTCCGAATATTTGGATCAGCTCCATGCTGCAGCAGTACTATGTAAGAAAAAGAAACAGCTCTCAAATCTCTGGCATACAGAATAAGGTTTGCCCACAAACACACACATTAACTAAATTTTGAAAAAAGTAATATATTGCCTTTAAACATAAATAAATAAATGCCATACTTCAAAGTGCTCCTTTTGTTCAAGAGAATTTTCACCCATTAACATGTCTCTGCATGGATAGCAGCACACTGCCCCTGAGACAGTACAGACCAGACTCATAAAGACATGCACCAGTATGTTTATGGGTATTGTAAAACTGCAAACAGTTTTACACATCCAAACAAGTGATCCTGATTACCAACACACCTTAGTTAGGTGCATATATCCTCTCTCCTGTAAATCCTTCTGAAATATCTGTTTCAGCAGTGTCTTGCTATGGAACAAAGGGGAGGTCAAGGAGGTCTGCTGCTCAAGAACAGTAAATTCCTTCTACCTTTGGATCTTTAAATATACTGATTTTTATTCGTTTCATATATGAGCCATCACCCTTCTAGACAAAAGACTGCATACTATTTAATTCTCAGAACTGAAACTGCAGAGTGTCATGCAGGGGATTATGCAATATTTTACTCTAGCAGGCAGCCATGTACTTTCACAACACACAATCTACAGCTACTTCTCTTACTTTCTGAAAATCCCATAAAGTGAAAATCATTCTCCCTTCCTCACTTTCTTCATCTTTAGAGTAAAGAAAAATATTCTAACAAAACCTCTACAAGGAGATGAGAACATAAAGCAAACAAGGACCACAGCAGACTAGATTTCTGAGGATTTCATAACAAAAGTAAAGAATTGCTATCTTTTTATCACTTTAAAAGAGAAGGAACAAATGGTTGGCTGCTGCAATATTAAGCAAATAAATAAAGGGACTATAAAGAGACAAAACTTAAGATTAATTAATTTACTACCCACCATTTCTCTACTTCCTTTGGCTAAGGCTGCTATAGTGTTGAAGTCAAAGTACGAAAGAAAAGGACAATAGAGAATACTGTGATTCCCTTGCCATGCTCCCATTCAGAAGGATCCTGGGTTTGTTACCTCAGTCTTGCCCAATGCCTTTCAAAAACTTTTCATCACACAATCACCTATCAAAATGTGATAATGAGCTTACAGGCAAGTCAATAAAAACCTGGCAAAGTGTAAAGGAAATGTTTTTATAGCAACAAAATCTAGTCTGTTTACACAACAGACTGAATTGTTTTCAAACCAATAGTAAAGTTGATATTACTCTTCACGAAAACTGATCATCCTTTCCTTTGGATTCCAGACAGGACTGAAGTCCAAAATACACAGCAGAAATAATCCAGTTTGAGACCGCTTTAACTGCCCTGACACAATGCTAGGGAATTCTGGGAACTGTAGTTTCATGAGACATTTAGCCTTCTCTGTCAGATAGATCTGGTGCCAGGATTCCCTAGCACTGAACCAGGGCAGTTAAAGCAGTCTCAAACTGGATTATTCTTCAGTGTGTTTTGGACCAAAATCTTACATTTGAAGGGGGTGGGGGGGGCACTAACTACTAACACAATTTTCATTAAATTTTAATTGAAAACCTAAAATTCCATAGTCCAGTCTAGCTGTTAAAGGAATTCCAATTTTAAACTTAAAAAGCAAATAAATTGACATTAAAAGATCTGTACATATTTTGGTGCTATATCTGAATGCACTGTGGAATGTGCTTTTATCTGTATCTATTTTTATTATTCCACAATGATGTGCTTTATAAAACTTTTAACATTTTAAAATACTTTAATAAAGATACACTTACCAATACAAACATCTATCTTGCCTTTGATAGCTGCTTCATGCAGAGGAGTATAGTTCCAGTTGTCTCTGGCATTTGGGTCTGCGCCCTGACACAGCAAGAGGCTAACTACTTCAGCATGGCCAAAGGAACAGGCATTATGAAGAGGAATCAGTCCACCATCATCACGAGCGTGGACATTGGCTCCTGTCTGTAATAAATGTTCCACCACATCCTTTCTTCCAAAACCTGCAAAAACAAATAAATTTTGCTAAGCCATCAAAGTGTAAAACACACAAACAACTACTGGGACAAAGTACACTTCATATATTCTATATAGTCTATGATACACTGGAATACAGAGAACTAAGGCAGAAAAAGACACCTTAATAAAGAGAAGAGATATTGAGAGCCAGCATGGAGTAGTGGTTTGAGCGTTAAGACTAGGACTCTGGAGACCATGTACGAATCCTGTCTTGGCCATGTAAACCCACCGGGTGACCTTGGGCAAGTCACACTTTCTTAACCTCAGGTGAAGGCAATGGCAATCCCTCCCTTGAAGAAACTTGCCAAGGTTCGCCTTAGGATCACCATAAATCCCAAATGACTTGAAGGCACACAACAACATAAAGAGAAGTATCCTGCTGCTAAACTATTTTGTACTAATCCCTGCACAGGAAAAACCAAACTACTTAAAAGCTTTTGCATTTCAATCTGCAGTTGTTATAGTTTTTTTAAAAAGAGCCACAGTGGGGTCACAATTTGCACCAGGAGGGATTTTTTTTCAAGCCTTTCCTTCTTACCACAGTCCTAATGAAATCATGCAAAACTATTTTAACAGCTTTTCTCCCAGGGCAAAAGCAGATTGGAAGGAGTCATCAGTTACACAGCACAGCACAACTTTTTTTAAAAGAAAACACAGAGATTCAAATGCAAAAGCACATTAAAGTATATGTATGTGGCACCAAGAAATTAAATCATTTTTTTAATTGTTCATTCTTATATTTATCTACAACTGAAGCTGTTCCAGTTCAGTTCTGGTTCAGGGTAATAAAGGTTCAGTAACTATACTGGCACACACAAACGAACCAGTTCAGTTACAGTTTGCATGGCAAAACTTAAATATAAGGGACCACCTCATTAAGATAATTTCCAGAATGAAGCAGAGCAAGCTAGTACAGTGGGCCCTTGTTATACATGGGGGATCTGTTCTGGACACCACCACCACCACCCCGTGTAAGGAAAAAAAAGTGGGACCTCAAGTCCTGTTCTTTCCTATGGTCATGTGCATGCCGCACACCATTATAATACCAAGAGGCTTGCTGCCCACGGATGGCAAGCCCACAGATGGCGCAGGCACACTGTAAGTCTAAAGCTGTTACAGCAGGGGTCCCCAAACTATGGCCCGTGGGCCGAACCAGGCCTGTCAAGGCCTTTGAACTGGCCTGCAGCCGGTCCTGCCACTGCCGCCGCCACTGCCATGCAATGCAGGCCACCATTTTGAGTTCCAAAATTACTTATGGTGTCACGCGCGCATGCACACGACTCCAGGTGCCATTTTGGAACACAAAATGGCGTCGGAGTAGTGCGAATGAGTGTGATGGCAGGCGCCATTTTGTGTTCCAAAATGGCACCCGAAGTCGTGCGCATGCTCCCGTCGCACAAGCATGCGCATGACTCCGGGCGCCATTTTGGAACACAAAATGGTACCTAGTGTCGCGCGCGCATGCACACTACTCCGGCGCTGTTTTGTGTTCCAAATGGAGCCCCGTGTTACATAGCAGCGGTGTCAGGACCGGCCGTGGGCCGGTTCAAAGGCCTCGACGGGTCGGGTTCGGCCCGCGGGCCACAGTTTGGGGACCCCTGTTGTAAACTTTTGAAACTCCATTGGCTTTTTCATCAGGCAGGTTGTTAAAAACTATAAGGAGGGGGAGAAATTGGAGATGTTACTCCTAGGCCTGCATTTTGCTGTTTCTGTTCTCATTTCAGATGGTATGGAGAGGCATATCTTGTAGGCTGGCACCTCCTCCTTCTGGCTTTTTGACTACTGGCAGATTCTCAGTGTCCAGGAAATTTAATTTCCATTTGCAACACAAAAAGACACTTCCTTTGTAATCCAGTATGTCTCCATCCTTGTGAGGCCACAGGCCCCTTTGTTAGGCAGAGCACACTGAATTTCTCAATAAGTCTTCATGCTTTTGCATCAGCAAAACTTTAGGTGGTGTTGAGGCAAAACATGCCAATGCAGTCCCAATTTTAGAGGAGACAAAGCCTCAAATAGAAAAGCCTCAATTCACTGGCTTTCTCTTCTCTGTTGTGGCTATAGTGTGGTTATCTTGACATGCAGACATTCAGGAGTAGCTGTGCTGGCCATATAGCAAAACCAATACTATAAAAAAACCCACCCCACAGTGATTTTCTGGACCTTGAGAAATGTCCTAGACTTTGACAATCTCCCAGTTGCCACACGGCCAGAAGGAGGAGGTGCCACCCTGCAAGAGATAGCCCTCCATACCATCTGAACTGAGAACAAAAAGAGCAAAATGCTAACTAAATCTTATTTTTTTTTTCTCCTCCTGTATGGCTTTTAACACCTTGCCTGATGAAGAAGCCAGTAGAGCTTCAAAAGCTTGCAACATGTATACTGTGCATTTTGGTTGGCCCAGTAAAGGCATCACTGTTTGGGGGATTTTTTTTTTTATGTTACTGGATTTGCTATATGGCCAAAATGGCTATTCCTGAATTCATGGTGTAGGGATGAACAGGCTTTACTGAGAATTTGTACGCTGCCTTGCAAAACAAAACATCATCCCAATTTAAAACATTTAAAACAAAAAACTATAAAATTGTTCAAACTACAACACCAACCATGACATTATTTTCAGAGTGTCATTTACAAAATGAAGCTGTAATAATGTTTGCATCTACTGTAATATAGATATGCAAAGGTTTTGCCTTACTTTACAAACTGTCTGCATTATCTCTTCTCAAGAGAGCCAGTGTGACGCAGTGGTTTGAGTGTTGCACTATGACTCTGGAGACCAGGGTTCAATTCCCGGCTCAGCCATGAAACTCACTGGGTGTCCCTGGGGAAGTCACATGCTCTCAGCCTCTGGGTAAACCTCCTCTAATCAATCTTGCCAAGAAAACCCCATGATAGGTTCACCTTAGGGATGCCATAAGTTAGAAACAACTTGAAGGCACACAACAGCAACAAAATCTCTTCTCATCAATTTTTTTTTTTTTACAAAACTGAACAAAACCATTAAATAAATCCTAAATGTGCTTCCATACTGAGGACACATCCAATGTTTCAGCATACTAAATTTTGAATTATTATTTATTATTTCCTTTATCTGTAAAACAATGCTGCTGATAGCAACACAATTAATGAGGGAGTAGGATATTGCTTTTAATTAAATTGCAAATTTCATTGCAAAATACTTAGTTTGAGATTCTGTGCAGGAACAGAAAGGATAGGTTTAAATCACCAAGAAAATCCCCTTTATTTTAGATGAAGAATCCCCCATACTTCCACATATTTTTTAAAAAATAATAATGATGCACAGCTCATCACTAAAATGTGAACAGAACAGTTTACAATACCTATTAGGGTACTATTATGTGATTTTTAAAGATAATTTTCTTTTTATTAATTTAGGAAATAACATATCCATTACCTGTGTCAAGGTGTGGATGCTGTTTCAGCAAATTAGAAATAATAAAAAAATGATTCACACCTTCATAGACCTAAATCCTGCTCTACTCCTGATCACAGCAGACTCCCAGAATCAATCAGAATTTAGTAAGTCAACAGTCATGTAAATTCTTTTGATTCATGTATCTACTCTAAATGCCATCAAGATTTCTACCACTGCTGCCAGAATTCAACATTCTTTCTGATTTGGGAAGAAGTTGTGTCCTGTATTACAGAACCTTGAAAAGTAAGAGGGCAGAACATCTCCTTCCTTTTAAAAAACCAAAAATAATAAAACCCTTGCCATTCCTATACTTCATTTCTGTGGTTTTGCCATCAGAGTGGGCACCCATTTTAGTGTTTAGGTGGCAGCAAATGTGGGTAACAAGGAACACAGAATAGTCAAAAACAGCATGCATCTTGCTTGTTACTCTCTCCTGTTCTGCAATGTTATATTCTCCGGTCTTGCAAATGATCCTCCAAAACTTAGAAGCCTGCACATTTCTCATTCCCTTTCAGGGAACAGTAGAGATATGATGGTGAACTGTATTTTTATGCAGAATAGGTGTCTTCTCTCTAACAACTTGCTTGATATCTACATTTTGTACACTTACCCACTAATCCTATGGCCACCAATCTAGAGCTTAAATGTATAATAAAAATAACTATACCACACACAGTTGAGACACAGGTAGAAATGTAATCTGTCAAAGGATACTCGTTGAAGACTTCATCTTAAAAATTTGGGCGCATTCATCTCCTTCACAGAAATACAATGACAGAAGAAACCATACATATTACAAAAGCCTGGCCAAATAAAAGAACTGATTTACTGTATCTACTCAATTACAAGTCAACCTCATGCATATGTAGAGGGCAGGTTTTGGGGCCAAAATTATGAATTTTAATATGAACTGTGGATAAGTTGAGGGTAAAACTGAGGAGCATGTAACAAGAGATGTAAAGGACAAAACAAAGGAAAACAATGCCAAAGAACTTACAAACATCAGCCAGGGATAACTGTTTGTGTTCACCCTAAAGGCTGGATGGATGAGAGAGTAGAGGGGGGTCAGTGCTTCCAAGACAGATTACGCTCTTGCCTTTCACCAGAGGATGGTTCCTTTTTTATAAGTTAAAATACAATACTTACATTGACTTGTGGATAAGCCAACTCAGGTTTTTTGGATCAATTTTTGACTAAATTTTCTAGACTGATACATGAATTGCTGTTGTTGTTGTTCTTGTTGTGTGCCTTCAAGTTGTTTCTGACTTATCAACCTTAAAGCGACCCTATTCATGGGGTTTAGTATTTTTACTGTTGTTAACTGTCTTTGTGTCAGTCTCGACCCATGGCAACCCTGTGGATGAGACATTTCCAGGCCCCTCTGTCTTCTACTGCTTTGCCCAGCTCCTGCAAACTCATATCTGTGGTCTCTTTAATAAAGTCCTTCCATCTAGCATGTGGCCTTCCTCTCTTTCTACTTCCCTCCACCTTTCCTGACATTATTGTCTTTTCCAACAATTCATGCCTTCTCATGATGCATCCAAAGTCTAAGTCTTGTCATCTTGGCTTCTAGGGATATCTCTGGTTTGATCTGCTCTAGGACCCATTTGTTTGCTCAACACTCTTTTCCAGCACCAAATCTCAAATGAATTGATTTTCCTCCTATCTTCTTTCTTGACTGTCCAGGTATCACATCCATACATAGTAATAGGGAATACGATGGCTTGTATGATTCTGACTTTTGTGCTGAGTTGTATGTCTTTGCATTTTAGGATCTTCTCTAGTTTTTTCATAGCCACCCTCACTATTCTGAATCTTCTGATTTCCTGGTTGCAATCCCCGTTTCGATCAATGTTTGATCCCAGATATGAGAACTCTTTTACT